AGACTGGTCCAAATATGGTAGTAAGAAGTATGTTATATGTTCACAGAGGGAGGACAACTCCCCACGAGGGTGCTGCCCACCACTTCCAAGGTCAACAATCAGAAAATGAAGGCCGTTGCTCCGGCCCCGAAAGTTCTGAACCCCAAGTGAGTTGTTTTTCTCTCCTTCATTGACTCTCTTAGATCATTTTTTTTCTTCATAGTATACGAAAATTGTATAGTTCAACGCCTCTTGCAACACAAAGGTTATTTAAAAGAGACTGGACCCCAGAACTTAACGTCCATCTCCGATAGACCGAACCAAATAGGACAGTTCGTGTAAAACTCATCGCCAGGCCGAACAGTGCCTCGAACCCCACGAACCAGCTGTCTCATGAGTACGAGTCCACCAGACTACCAACACCACTCTTCATCGTACCGCACTTAGGTCAGTCACCTTATCCTTAATTCTCCTTCCTCTCTTGGTCATGCCTTCAGGTTTATCAGGAACAGAATGAATGTCTTTGACAGTTTCTTGAACTCAAGTACACAATCAGCTGTGCCCACGGCGGTTGATCCTCAGTTTCCGAGAATGTACTGTAAAATTGTCTTTTCTCCGCTGCTTAAAATGTAAGCTAGCTATTAAGAGAGTTGTATTGGAAGCCTCTTTGTTCACGTTTAAGTGTTCAAGAGAGCTATTCTGTAGAGTTTTCTATTTCATACCAAGTATCTGAGAGTACTCTGCTACAAACCTCTGTTTGTACATAAAAAAAACCAACAACTTTATTGTAAATATCTCTGTTCACAATCAAGTATTTTAGATTATGTACTTAACCGCCACCCCAGTCTCTTTCTATTCTTAGAAAGGTACTTGAGAGAGTTGTACAGTAAACCTGCATGTCCGATAACTGGGAAATCTCCGGTTTTTGCAATTTATAAATAACCGCCTTACTTCCATCAATCCTTCAAACAAAGAGCCCCCAAACAACAGAAACATTACCAAGGAATTGAAATCTCAATGAGATCCTGCCTAAGAAGGGAAGAATCCTCGTTTTTTCAAGAAGGACTTTGAATGCGCTCAAAAACGAACAAATAAGAAATGAACTTGTTTTACCTCTGTAGTAGCGTTTTCCAATCAGTTAATGTTTTCTTCAGAAAGGGAGTGGCCTTTAGACTTGAAGTAAATGTGTGGCGTCGTGGTGAAATCAAACTCTCATCAAAATAATAGAATTAAAGGAACTGCCATTGCTCGCTGGTAAATTTTTTTTGGCTGAACACCTTTTCTACCATTTAAAATACATCTCTGTGTGGATTTCACTGAAATGCATCGGCAGAAGCACAAAAAACACCCAAAGGAAAATTGCAGTTTCAAAGGGATATTCAAGCTTTCAAAGTCACCCAGTTTGGGGAGGGGTGGGGGGCATTTTATCGCTAAGGTTTACCGCTGATACCAGGCGATATCCACCTATTTCGATCTTTAATATTTCAACTGAACACGCTTTAAGGTTATACTAATAACTCCAAGTATGTCCAAAAATTTACGAGCACGTGATACCACCACGTCGTAACACAAATTTTGTTTCAGTTTGTGGTGTAATGGTTTTTGGCTTTTTCCCCACTCCCATCTTTGTTGATACTCTTTCTGGTTTTTCTAATCCTTGGGGTGTAAGCTGTTCATAGTTCACACAACTTCAGTGTGTGGTGTCATGGTTAAGTTCTCTCTCTTTGCACACCGAAGACGTGAGTTTACCCCCCTCTCCCCCTCCCCCCTCCAGAGCAGTGCTTTAGTTCTCTCTCGTTGCACACCGAAGACGTGAGT